GGGGAGGGTCCTTCTCTTCCCCCTATGGACCTGGCTGGGACTGGCTCAGGAATGCTCCTGCCTGCCTCTGCCCTGGACGGAGCAGAGGTTGGGGGGCAGCGGCTCCGGGGCCCTGGCCAGAGGCGGGACGGCCCTCTCACTTGCTCCGAAATGTGTCGGTTGTGGGTTGGTGCGGGGAGGGGGGAGATCCCCACTGTCCTGCAGAGAGCGGTGAGTGGCTCTGAAGAGAGGCAGCCTGCCTGGGGACTCCTTTCTCCCTGGCATTGGGACCGCCGTCTCCCTTACGCTCCTCTCCGGAGTCAGACGGGCCAAAGAGAGGCTCTTCTCAGGGCGGCCAAGCCCCCGCCCCCCGGTTCAGCTCTTAAGGGAGACCTGCTTCCCCGCCATCACGGAGGGTCCGGGGGGGGAAGATCCTGCTCTGGCCCCAGGAGGCTCTCGGCAGCCTCCCCGCGGAGCGGCCGGCCCCTGTGCTCCCCCTGAGCCCCCTTTTCCCTCCCTCCCTCCCTTGGCAGTACGAAGACCACCGGGCTTCATGGGACACCAACCAGGCGGGGCTGAGCCACAGCCACCAGCACGGGTTCGGCTTGCTGAAGGCTTGGAGGCTGGTCAATGCCGCCAAGGTAGTCGGGGCCCCTTCTCCGGAGGCCCCAGGGGCCCCCCCTGCAAGGAAGCCCCCAGGGATGAGGCCTGGGGCAGGGGGCCCTCCCCAGGTGTTCCCTCCACCACCACCACCCCGTTGTGCGGGCCCCGTTTTGCCTCTGCCCCGCGGGGGGGGGAGAGAGAAGGGGAGAGCCCGGCCGGACAAGAGCTCCTGGGCGGGCTGAGGGCCCCATCCACCAGGGTGGGGGAGGGCCTGGGGGAAGCGGTCCAGCAGCCTCCTCTCCTTCCCCTGGCAGGTCTGGGAGTCGGTCCCTTACTTGGCCTCCTACGTCAGTCCCCTCCTGAAGGAGAACAGAGTCATCCCCCTGACGTCGGACCATCTGGAGGTCGCCTGGAACGGTCTGTCCCGCAAGGGGGCTGTGGGGAGGCTGAACGTGGGCCNAGGCGGCTGAGATCTTGCTCCACGCCTACCGGCAGGATCCGTGCACCACTGACTGGCTCTCGCCCAGCCTGGCTGCTCCTGCTACCCATTTTAGGCAATCCTGCAGCTCCTGTCTTGGCCACCCTCCACCCGTCCATCCACACAAACACGGCATGGGCACAGGCACACACACACACACCCCCGGGGTGGGGTGGGGTGGGGTGGGGTGGACAAACAACAAGGGCCTTCTCCTGGAAGGGGGTTCCTCTCCCTCTGCCCCTTCCCAGTCGCCTCCTGGGAGCACCCAGACCGGGGTGCCTCGTTGTACAACTGACGGGGAGTAGGTTTCCTGACCACAGAACAGCTCGGGTGAGCCAGAGGTGAGGGGCAGAGCAGAGTGGGGACTCAGACCACGAACCCAGCCCCACAGAGTGGCCAGCCGGCGGGCACAGGGCACCTGGGCCCAATCCCAGCCACGAAAGCAGCCAGGCGACTGGTCCTTCGGCTCAGCCTGGCTCATTCTCAGCCTTGGTGGGGGCGAATCGGAAGGGAGCAGGGGAGGGGGTGGGAGAGACCTTCTCCCCTTGGGATGCTGGGGCCTTCCATCTCAGCTTCTCCAAGCTCCCTTCCCTTCTGAGCTGGGCTGCTGAACCCTGGGGGCAGCGGGTGGCGGGATCTCCTCCTTCTCCCCGCCTCCCTCCCTTTGGACAAAGAGGGTGTTCTCGGCTCGGCTCGGGTTGCTCCTGTTTCCCGTAAAAGGAATTCTCTCCCACGAACCACAACAAACCCAGCAAGAACAAACCCGGAGCTGGGCATGCTGAGTCCCAGGGAGGAATGTGGGGGTCAGGCCCCCACTTCGAGGAGGGGGAGGGGGAGGAGGCTAGCCTGGCTGCTGCAAGGAGGGGGAAGAGGCAGGGAGACAGCTCCGGGTTTAACTCTTCCAGGGCCACCTCTGGCGGCTGCTGTGCGGAAGGAGATGCTGGAAACCCGGGGGATGAAGGAACATCCAGTGAGACTCTGCAGGGAGCGGCCACCCCACCCTGGGCGGTCTCTGTGTGTCTGGGCAAGGGAGGGGTAAAGCCAGGGAAGGCGGCTGCCCAGCCGTGCCAACCGGACCCCAGGATTCTCCCCTGGCCTGACTCTTACCTGCTGCTTTGAGGGAGAATTAGGGAGAAGGGAAAGGAGGGGAAAGGCCTGCCCCAGCCACAGGTTCATGACGGGTGGGGGCCTTTGGTGCTCCTAAGGCTGGGGGCAAGGAGGAAGGGGGCCTTAAGGAAGCCCACCCAAGAGGACCTGACCCTGCGGCCCCTCCCACCTCAGCGGAAGCCCCCTGGCCTTTGCGGTGACGTCTTCCTACGGCATGTATTCCCCAGCTTTCTTGGCCCCTGTGAAGAGAGACCTTGCATTCACACACAGTTGGGATAACAACCCTTCCTGGTGCCGGGGGGGGGGCCTCTCGACCCGCCAGCCCCTTTTCCT